TCAGCACCACATCACACTTAATCTAAAATTGACCACATAATTGGAAGTAAATCACTCCTCAGCAAATGCAAAAGAATGGAAATCATAACAAGCAGTCTCTCAGATCACAAATTAGAATGTATATTCTGTGGATCAAACTAGATTAGAATCAAATCTAATCAAATTAGAACTCAGGATTAAGAAACTAACTCAGAACTGCACAACTTTATGAAACTAAGCAACTGGCTCTTGAATGTTGACTGGATAAACAATGAAATGAAGGCAGAAATAAAGATGTTCTTTGAAACCCATGAGAACGAAGACACAATGTACCAGAATCTCTGTGACACATTTAAAGCAGTACCTAGAGGAAAATTTATAGCAATAAATGCCCACAGGAGAAGCAAGGAAGGATCTAAAATCAACAACCTATCATCAAAATTGAAAGGGCTAGAGGAGCACGATCAAAAAAACTCAAAAGCTAGCAGAAGACAAGAAATAACTAAGATCAAAGCAGAACTGAAGGAGATAGAGACACAAAAAACACCTTCAAAAAATCAATAAATCCAGGAGCTGTTTTTTTGAAAAGAACAAAATAGACAGGCTAAAAGAGAAGAATCAAATAGATGCAATAAAAAATGATAAATTCCACCACCAATTCCACAGAAATACAAACTACCATCAGAGATTACTACAAACAACTCTATGCACATAAACCAGTAAACCTGGAAGAAATGGATAAATTCTGGACACCTGCACCCTCCTAAGCCTAAACCAGGAAGAAGTTGAAACCCTGAGTAGACCAATAACAAGGGGTAAAGTTGAGGCAGCAATAAATAGCCTACCACCAAAAAACGCCCAGGTCCAGATGGGTTCACAGCCGAATTCTACCAGACATATAAAGAGGAGCTGGTACCACTCCTTTTGAAACTATCCCAAACAATTCGAAAGAGGGAATCCTTCCCAAATCATTTCATGAGACCAACATCATCCTGATACCAAAGCCCAGCAGACTCAACAAAAAAAAGTAAGACTTCAGGCCAATATCCATGATGAACCCAGATGCCAAAATCTGCAATAAAATGCTGCCAAACCAATTGCAATAGCTTATCAAAAGCTTATCCATCACGATCAAGTAGGCTTCATCCCAAGGATACAAGGCTTGGTTAACATATGCAAGTCTATAAATGTAATCCACTACATAAACAGAACCAAAGACAAAAACCACATGATTATCTCAGTAAATACAGAGAAGGCCTTTGACAAAATTCAGCAGCCCTTTATGCTAAAAACTTTCAATAAACTATGTATCGATGGAATGTATCTCAAAATAATAAAAGCTATTCATGACAAATCCACAGCCAATATCATACTGAATGGGCAAAAACTGGAAGCATTCCCTTTGAAATCTGGCACTAGACAAGGATGTCCTCTCTCACCATGCCTATTTAATATAGTATTGGAAGTTCTAGCCAGAGCAATCAGGCAAGGAAACGAAATAAAGGGTATTCAATTAGGAAAGGAGGAAGTAAAATTGTCTCTATTTGCAGATGACATGATTGTATATCTAGAAGACCCCATCGTCTCAGCCCAAAATCTCCTTAAGCTGATAGGCAACTTTAGCAAAGTCTCAGGATACAAAATCAATGTGCAGAAATCACAAGCATTCCTATACACCAATGACAGACTTAAAGAGAGCCAAATCAAGAATGAGCTGCCATTCACAATTGCTACAAAAAGAATAAAATACCTAGGAATACAACTAACAAAGGATTTAAAGGACCTCTTCAAGGAGAACTACAAACCACCGCTCAAGGAAATAAGAGAGGATACAAACAGATGGAAAAACATTCCATGCTCGTGCTTAGGAAGAATCAATATTATGAAAATGGCCATACTGCCTAAAGTAATTTATAAATTCAGTGCTATCCCCATGAAGCTACCAATGACCTTCTTCACAGAACTGGAAAAAAAAACACCTTAAACTTCATATGGAACAAAAATAAAGGCCACATAGCCAAGACAATTACAGGCAAAAAGAACAAAGCACGAGGCATCACACTACTTGACTTCAAACTATACTACAAGGTTACAGTAATCAAAACAGCATAGTCCTGGTACCAAAACAGAGATATAGACCAAAGGAACAGAACAGAGGCCTCAGAGGCAATGCCACACATATACAACCAACTGATCTTTCACAAACCAGACAAAAGCAATGGGGAATGGATTTCCTGTTTAATAAATGGTGTTGGGAAAACTGGCTAGTCATGTGCAGAAAGCAGAAACTGGACCCCTTCCTGACACCTTACATGAAAATTAACTCCAGATGGATTAAAGACTTAAACATAAGACCTAACACATAAAAACCCTAGGAGAAAACTTAGGCAAAACCATTCAGGACATAGGCATAGGCAAGGGCTTCATGACTAAAACACCAAAAGCATTGGCAACAAAAGCCAAAATAGACAAATGGGATCTAATTAAACTCCAGAGCTTTTGTACAGGAAAAGAAACCATCATTAGTGTGAATTGGGAACCAAGAGAATGGGAAAAAAATTTTGCAATCTACCCATCTGACAAAGGACTAATATTCAGAATCTACAAATAATTTAAACAAATTTACAAGAAACAAACAAACCCATTCAAAAGTGGTCGAAGGATATGAACACTCTTCAAAAGAAGACATTTATGAGGCCAATAAATATATGGAAAAATGCTCATCATCACTGTTCATTAGAGAAATGCAAATCAAAACCACATTGAGATACCATCTCGTGCCAGTTAGAATGGTGATCATTAAAACATCTGGAGACAACATATGCTGGAGAGGATGTGGAGAAATAGGAACACTTTTACACTATTGGTGGGAGCGTAAATTAGTTCAATGATTGTGGAAGACAGTGTGGTGATTCCTCAAGTACTTAGAAATAGAAATTTCATTTGACACAGCAATCTCATTACTGGGTATATATCCAAAGGATTATAAATTGTTCTATTATAAAGATACATACACATATATGTCCATTGTGGCACTGTTTACAATAGCAAAGACCTGGAACCAACCCAAATGCCCATCGATGATAGACTGGACAAGGAAAATGTGGCACATATACACCATGGAATACTATGCAGTCATAAAAAACGATGAGTTCATGTCCTTTGTAGAGATATGGATGAACCTGTAAAGCATCATTCTCAGCAAACTGATGCAAGAACAGAAAATCAAACACCACATGTTCTCACTCATAGGTGGGTGTTGAACAATGAGAACACATGGACACAGGGAGGGGAACATCACACTCTGGGGTCTGTTTGGGGGGAGTAGGGGAAGGACAGTCGGGGGTAGGGAGGTTGGGGAGGGATAACAAGGGGAGAAATGCCAGATGTATGTGACAGTGGATGGAGGCAGCAAACCACATTGCCATGTAGGTTCCTATGCAATGATCCTGCATGATCTTCACATGTACCCCAGAACCTAAAGTGCAATAAAACATATGTGTGTGTGTGTGTGTATATATATATATATATATATATATATATATATATATATATATATAAAAAGAAAAAGAAGTGGGGGAGGGAGGGAAGGGAAGAAAGGAAGAAAGAAATAAAAAGAAAAGAAAAGGTAGGTAGGTTTGAAATTAAGTGATTAGGAATGCATGCTTACAGTTTTAATTTTTTCTTTTTCTTAAGAATATTTGCAATAAAGTTTATTGATTTATTTGCCCATTTTCCTTTCATCAAAAAGTCAGCATATTTACTCTACTAGTTTGTTCAGAATAGCTATGCTTTATTCTCAATAAGGTTGGAATGGATAAAAGCCATTTTAGTACCATAAAACAATTTTTCTGTACTTCCAGTGGCTAAAACAACATTTCCTAATTATCATATGTACTTTACACATATGTACATAATTCATATATAGGGTGTGTTTGTGAATGCTCACTCTTTAATCTGGTATCCAGGTAGTACATTTGTAGGATACATTCTCTTACCTCTGACAGAGGATTACAGAGATGTATGGGGCACTCAAAGTTGCTCATCTCCTTCCACTTCACAAAGGAAGAGTTTCATAATACATGGCTCAGGAGAAAATATATTTCTTAGGGGACAATTTTGGTCTTTCATACTAAGGCAATGATTCTCAACTGCAACTGCATATTAGAATAACCTGGGGAATTTAAACAAAGCAAAATACTCCAGAGATTCTTACTTATTTGGTTCAGGATAGGAATTTTTTAAGAGTACCCTAGGTACTCTTAAAATCTAAGATACAGCAAAGGTTGAAAACCTTTATTCTCAGGGCTGGAGGACAAAGGCATGGTGTATGAATAGATGACTAACCCTAACTCCTTCCTAGGTCTTAGGAAGGCCTCTCTTTCCTGTGGCATGTTTTTCATGATGCATTTCTGGTGTCTCTCTTGCAGCATATGAACACATGGAAGGAATCACACTGCCTTTTCTTTGCCTCCTGAGGACACAGACTTGGAAAATGCTGATGAAAGAAACCCCCCATGTTCCAGATGTGTTGGAGAAATATGTGGAAAAGATCAGAAGGAGACGAAGAGATTATGAGGAATACAAGGCCATGAAATTAACTTATTTGCTTTTTATATGACAGAAAGCACACACATAATTGAATTTTGTGGTGGCAGGAAACCAGGGCCTCAGAGGGAATTTAAAGGAGAACTGAGGTTTTAAATTTTTAAGGGTACCCTAAAATACAAAAGAGGATATCTAAAGGTAATGGAAACTGGAGGTATCACTCACTACTGCTAATTTCCTTTGAAGGAGACAAAACATTTTAAATGCCAGCATTGCATAGGGCAGGTAACCTGCATAGAGGATGAATTTTGTACCCCAGGATGTGGAAAACCTGATGTTACTAGTAAAATCTCAACAGGTGATGGATTCTGGGATATTGGCACAGATTGTCTGGCATCTTGCCAAAGCTGAAGAGCTGAGAATGTTCTCTTTTTTTCACTTCATTAGGTTTGGTTTATTCTGTATTTCCCTTCTGAATCTCTGAATTAAATTGAGCCCCTGTCTTGGTGCAAGACTAGAAAAAGTACAGTACAGCGCTCTGGTGGTCACCTGTGTTCCTGGGATTCTATGTTTTCTGTGTTTTCAGCATGGACCTTTTACTGTGGTATTTCCACATGCCTTGGATCTGGGGAAAGAGCACAGAAGTCTCTGTGAGAAGGGTCGCGAGCCTCTGCTTCAAACCCGGATTTTTTAATAGACCAAACTGATAAGGTAAAAACAAAGCCAAATAAAACACTTACTGTTGAATTCCCCAATTGGCTTCACCCTTACATTCTTTTGTCTCTACTTCAACTAACTAACTGTCCATAAATAAGAGTAAATAAGTAAAATAGGAAATAATATGACCTACATTAGTGAGGGCTCTTCAGCTTCTCTTTCTCTCTAAGGAGCATAGCTCCTGGGTTTCTCAGATTGGTCGCTCTGGTGAGGTGCAAGGAAAAACAGCACAATGTAAAACAGCAACTGAGGCACAGAATTTATCCAGACAAATCCGCTCACTCTGAAAGTATAAGGTCAGAGAAGGGAAGAGGCTGGTGTGAATGCAAGTTTCACCAATATAGCACAATTCAAAGGCATGGCCACTGGGAGGATGATCTCACTCCTTCCTGGCTGGTCTTCCCATTGCTAGTTAAAGTAGCCTAACCTTGGCAGGATCACACATTTCAGAAAGTAGAATACACATGCTTTAAGTGGTTTTATAAATAGCTTTTCAGATAGCTACAGAATTTCATAAGCAGCTGACTCAGGCAGTGCATGGTGTGGTAGAAAGTCGGAATTACAGTTGCATTTCAAAACTCTGAAAGAAGAGAGCAAGGGCCAGTACATGGAACCAAACCCTGAGCCAGCTACCTGGAGGCTTTCTCTTATGTTCCATCATAAAAATGCAGCCCATTCTCTACAAAATTGGAAAAGATGAGGCCTGTGAGAAACTGTAGACTGGCTAACGATATAGAAGCGCTGACATATTCACAGTAGTGCTGGGACAGGATGGCTGAGGTTACACGTGCTGAAGAAAGGATCCAAACTCCCGTGTCCTGACAGGCTTCTCCTCTTCTGGCTGAGAGTGATTGAATAGGAAGAAATGGAACAGAAAAGAGTTTTTGTTTTTGTATTTATTTTGGTGCATAGGTTCCTCTGTGGGTATTGCAATTAAAATGGTTAAAGAGTTATATGATCGAAACATTTTAGAGCTATTCAGAAATACTGTGACATTTTGAACTTGCTGCACATCATTTAGTATTCTTTCTGATTGACAAACATTAATTACATTATTTCAAATGGAAAATAATGTAAAAGTATGGCATATATATGTATATATGATGTTTTTATGTGTGTGTGAGTATAGGAGAACAGTATATGAAATCTTAACTTGCAGGAGACCTTTAACAACTAAAGGGAAATTCTATTTTTCTCCTATAGAACACCCCTGTACTGCCCAAGGAAAAACAAAGCCACATTAGCTGGCCAGGTCAAAAGCTCTCCACCTCTGCATGAAGTTGAGATTTTGGAAGATGTAGTCTGGGAGTACAGATTATTTTTCTGGCCCCTCCCTTTCTGAGATAGGACCAATGGATTGGATGAGAAGAGGATGGATTGACAGGACCAGCAGGATGTCATCCTGACCTTCAAAGACAAGGTAAATGAAGTAGCTGATTCTTTACCTGTACTATCTAGATTTTTAATATAAAGTATCCCAAGGAATGGGTAGCACATCACTAGGTGAGATAGAGTGTCACAAGGAGGCTGAAGAGTGTGGTAAGAGAATGCCCACTGAATGGCTAGAGTTAGGGTGGAACAAGTGAGGTCAAGTCATGCAAGTGCAGAGCAGATCCTTTTGTGAATTAAAATGTTGATATTTTGTAAATAATTCGTTTGCATTCATTCTGATATTTAAAAAATGTTGTGTTAGGTTGTTATTTATCTTGATCACTAAAGTTTTTGGTACCTCATTAAGTTTTATGCTCAAGGCAAGTGCCTCACCCCAGCTGTGTCCCATTGGCTGCCTGGAACAGGGGTTGCACAAGATACCTAACCATAGGCTGTACCAGAGATTGTGTGGGTGAAGGGCAGGAGGCTGAGTGACAGACATCCAAGCCAGAGATTAGATGCAAGGCATGACTCATCCTCAAGGGAATTTCCTCTCCCTAAAAGCTGCTCAAAGGACCACGTGTCTGCCAGTGGGGACCTCACCTAATGTTTCACAATACTCGATCTGAAACTACAGTGGAGAAAAGAATAAAGACAAAAGGACACTTCCTAAATGAGAAATCTAGGGCCAAGACGCAAGTACACCCTTCTACTTCCTAAAAGCTGCCAATGATTCAGGACCTGGCTCCTCGCTCTCTCCATATAGAAAGACAAAGGCCACACTGGACAGAGGAGAGAAAGTCTACATAGCATTTATGATTAAGGCAATGGAAAAGAAATGACCTAAATTTAATAAGAAATAAATGAATTCACCCGATCATTTTGAAAGTCAACACAAATAGATGTCCTAGAGTTGGCTCTGTGACTTATCAGTGTTATGCTAGCTTTTCATTCTGAGCCTTTTCACCTCAGGTCACAAGCAGACTGCGGTAGCTCTGAGCATCATGTTCTCACAGGGCCCCCCAAAAGGCAGAAACTGGGGTGTGTGTATTAGAGGGGTTGGGGAGATACATTGAGAAAAAGGTCTCATTGAACTTCCTGTCTTTGTCAGGGATGAAAAGCCTTTCCAAGAAGCATCCAACTGACTTCCCCTTATGTCTCTTTGGTCAAATTGGATCACACTTCCATGTCTAGCAAGTCAAGGGCCTGAGAAAATGAGTTTTTTTTCAGCCACTGTAGTAGTGAAAAGCTGTCAAGTGTAAAGGGGATGGGAATGATTATTGGTAACCCAACGAACTGTTTGCCATAACATCCAAGTTCATGGTTATACAATTTGTCTCTTATCTATATTCACATAAAGATGCATACACACATACATCTACACATACATAAATGAGATAACGACAACAAAACCCCACAAATCTTAGTGTGTGCATTCATAAGCTCACCTGCATATAGAGTAGCTGGGCCTGGTGGAGTGGCTCTGCTCATCTCTGCTGGGGTCCCTCCTGCACCTGGCTCTTATGGGCTGGGCTATGGAAACTTGGCTATGCATTCCTTATCTCCCTTCTGTCTCCTGGGACCAACAAGCTAATGCAGGCATGTTTTTTCTTATGCCAAAAACACAGGTTCAAGAGAGCACTCACTGTGCTAATACATTTCAAGCCCAAGCTTGTGTGATTCTGTGAACCTCTTGTTTGTTAAAGCAAGTCACAAGGCTGGGCCCCAAATTAAGGGGGATTGAAGCAATACCTCCCATGGAACTGAGGAGTAGACACCAATCTACCCTGCAAAGAAAATGGAAGGGAAGAAAGGAGGGAGGCAAATATGCATTAAAAACAAAGGACCTAGAATAAAGTGATGGGAAACTAAATGTATTGGTTAAAACAATTTGTGAAAATGGGTTAATATCCTAATGCATCAGACTAAAAAAGAAGGTAAAAAGAATCATTTCTTTAAATGATTTTTAAAATCATTTCTTTACTCATCTTAAAAAGAATGAGTAAAGAAATAGTGATGCTGGTAATGATGACAACAATAATAATAATAATGGCCGAAGTGCCCTCCAGCTGTTTAAGATGCAGATTTATGGTGGCAGATTCCCTGATCTCTGCTGGTGTGGTCCCTGACCTTCAATCCTCCAGTTCTCCCAACTACTGCATAAAATCTACATCCTACAATAAATCCTTCATTCCTTGAAAAAAAAAAAAAAAAAGCTGAAGTGTCATCCAGACATAGATACAATTCAACGTAAATAAAATGAATAAAGACTGATTTTATGCTGTTGAAATTATGAAGTTACATTGTTAATAAATAAATATTCACAGTAATATATAAATATGAGCATTTATGCATAATATTTAAAACATCGTAAAGATATAAAACAAACTGTAAAAATACAAATATAAATGGTCAAAAAGTGACTGTATTAGATTTTAACAAACTTTCAGTCTCAAACAGATGGAATAGATATTAAACTGACTAAGGACATAGGGCAGTTGGATATTATATATAATAAAGTTGATTTATAAGATAAATTTTACAGATTTTACAACCAAAAGTGCTTATTTTTCCCAAAATCTAATGGCACATTTTACTGCATGTCATATAGCAGGCCACAAGAAATTTCAGCAAGAACAGAGGATGTACAGGCCTGTTTTTAACCCCAATGAAATAAAGTCAGGAATTAATTAAAATTGGTCAACAAAACATACAAATAAACACTTGGAGTTAAAATAACAACATAAAAATAAAACACACCACTACTTCAATAATTTCTGGGCCAAAGAAGAAAATAAAACTCCATTTATAAATTGTTTAGAAAATAGTAATGATAGTACACATAAGATTTAGTTAATGGAAAATTATATCTACAAAAGCTCTATTTACAAAACAGAATAAGGGGTCAGTGAATACAGCCCCTGCAACTGAAATATCCAGGTTCTTGCATTGGGGCTGATGAGGCAGACAAGGAAGAAAAGCAGGGTAGAGCGACGGCCTACTCGGGAGTGGCACAGGGACAAGAGAACGCCCATCCCCAGCCAAGGGAAGCCGTAAGTGATTGTGTAACCATGTCTCTTTCATGGATCTTTGTGACCTCTGCATCAGGAGATCCTCTTGTGAGCACACACCACCAGGGCCTTGGGTCCGACACACAGAGCTGTGTGGAATCTCGGCAGAACAGTCGCTCAGCCATGCACAGAGACCCAGGAGCTTTACATATTCGGCCTTAGGATTCTTGGCAAGGTGGAAGGTCGGTACGTATCGTTAGGAAGGAGGTTGAATCCAGGGAGCCAAGCAGCCTTGCTCTGTGGGTCTCACCTCTAGGGCACCTCACAAGATAAGACCCACTGGCTTGGAATTCCAGCCAGCCAGTGACAACAGAGTGGAGCCTGCCAGAGACAGAGCTCTCAGCGGGAGGGGCAACGGTCATCTCAGTGGTTTGGTCAACTCAGCCTTCCAGCCCATCAGCTTTGGAGACCTCAAATGGTCCAGACGAGGAAGGGTCTCCCCAGTGCAGCTTTGCCAAATCATGGCCAGACTGCTTCATTAAACAGGACCCCAATCCACATCTCCTCAATGGGCAGGACCTCCCTGCTGGGGTTACAGCCCTCCCAGCAAGTTTTATATGGACAGAGGTCTGACCTCTCCCTGGTATGGAGCTCCTGTGGGGAGGGGCAGCCACCATCTCCATGGTTTGGTTGACTCAACTTTTCCAGCTCACTGGCTTTGGATACTCCAAACAGTCCAGATGAGAAACAGTCCCCGGAGTGCAGGACTGCTACTTTGCCAGATTGTGGCCAGACTGCTTCTTTAAGTGGGACCCCTGATCTACTCCTTCTCATGGGGCAGGTCCTCACAGCTAGGACCTCAAGCCACTCCCCACCCACGTTCCAAGGCCAACAAAGCTTTAACTTCCCCCTGGGATGGCGTGCCTGGGGGGCAGGGCAGGCTGCCATCTTGGCTGTTAGAGTTTCTCAGTCAGTCCAGCCTGTGGGCCCTGCAGAGCCTATACCGATCTGGGGCTGAAGGGATCCCCAACACAGCACACCTGCTCTACCAAAAACTGCCAGAGTGATCCATCAAATGGGTCCCTGATCCTGTTCTGCTGACTGGATGAAACCTCCCAACAGGGGTCTCCAGCTACCTCCTACAGGCACGTTCAGGCTGGCAACAGGTCAATACCCCTCTGGGATGGAGCTTCCAGAGGAAGGAGCAGGCTGCTATCTGACAGTATTGGACAGATCATTGAGACAGAAAATTATCAAAGATATTCAGGACCTGAACTCAGCTCTGGATCAAGTGGACCTGATAGATATTTATAAACTCGGCCTCCAAAAACAGAATATACATTCCTTTCATTGCCACATGGCACTTATTCTAAAATTGATCACATAATTGGAAGTAAAACATTCCTCAGCAAATACAAAAGAAATGAAATCATAACGGTCTCTCAGACCATAGTGCAATCAAATTAGAACTCAAGACCAAGAAAGTCACTCAAAACCATACAACTACATGGCAATTGAACAATTTGCTCCTGAATGGCTATTGGGTAAATATTGAAATTAAGGCAGAAATCATTTGTGCCCCAACCAATCTCATCTCAAAATGTAATCCCCAGGTATTGAGGAAGGGACCTGGTGGGAGGTAATTGAATCATGGGGGTGGTTCCCCCATGATGTTCTTGTGATAGTGAGCAAGTTCTCTTGAGATCTGATGGTTTTATAAGGAGCTCTTCTTACACACACTACCTCTCATCCACCACCATATGACATGCTTGCTTCCCCTTCCACCATGATTGTTAGTTTCCTGAGGCATCCCTAGTCATGTGGAATTGTGACTCAATTAAACCTCTTTTTTTTTTTTTTTTTTTTTGAGTTGGAGTCCGATCTGCTGCCCAGACTGGAGTGCAGTAGCACAATCTTGGCTCACTGCAACCTCTGCCTCCCTGGTTCAAGCAATTCTCCTGCCTCAGCCTCCCAAGTAGCTGGGGACTATAGGCATGTGCCACCAGGCCTGGCTAATTTTTTGTATTTTTAGTAGAGA